GAGAAGGAGGCTCCACAACCTCTCTGGGCAGCCTGTTCCAGTGCCCTGTCACCCTCACTGTTAAGAAATTTTTCCTTAAGTTCCTATGGAAAAAAATAGATTGAGCTTGATCTAGAAAAACGCACTCGCATGGGCCTTATAGCCGTGGTAGTCCTTACTGGGGTGAGACGCGGCTGGGCTGGAGCTGAACTGCTTCCCGGCTTGTAGGACGTGGCCCCAGGTGAATTACAGCCTTGCAGAACGAGCATGTCTTGGATCAGCTGAAGTTCCCAGCCTGGGTTTTGCTCCTGGACGGCGGGTGGCGGAGCCGCGCGGGCAGCTCGGCGGCGCGAGGGCGCGGGCGCCTCACGCTGCCACAGGTCCCTGTGGCGCCGGGGGCGGCTTCGTGCTCAGGGGTTGCCTGCATCGCCGGTGACTTGGTGAACTCGGTTCAAGGAGACAACGCTGTGGCACCTTCCCAGGTTCTTGGTTACAGAGATTATCAAAGGAAGGCAGCAAAACATGCCTTCTGTCACGTACAGAAGCCCAGTCCCTCTCAGCTCTTACTTTCCTGAGGGGAAACTCACACTCCTGGCTGTGTGGAAAAATCCTCTGCACGTTCACCCGTCTACCTGAGCGTCATCGGAGCTGCAAAACAGAAAGGCAGGGCTGCCCAGCAGGGCAAGGACGCTGCTGTGCAGCACAGTGCTCCCAGGTGCACGCCTTCCTCGTGGCAGAGCGGTGAGGCAAAGCTCTTCCTCTTCTGTCAAAGAACAGGAGGCCTTCAAAAATAGCGATGTGCCCATAGAAGTGCCAGTTTTGGCACCTAAGGACATAACTGGATCTCCCGGAACTTGGGCAACTTCTGGGGTTGAGACCAGCGTGACCTGGCTTGTGAAGCCAGTGTTCCTCAGAGACGCCTTGTTCCTAGCAGACATCTCTTTAAAGGGATGTTTTTTCCTCCACCTGTTTCAACCTCTGGAAATCCATTGATAGGTAACAACCAGGAGTCCAGCTTTCCTTGTATTTTTTTTCAGTCTCAGAGCATTGGCTCATAGATGAGCTTTGCGGTCATGAATGGATATTTCTGACTTTGCTTCCCTCCTCCCCATTTTCTTTTAAAGAAGCTTCTAAATTTAAGTTGGAAAAAAATCTTTAGTTCTTACATGCTGTCTGGCTGTGAGCATAGGGATCTTTAATAGTCTTCACAACGTGATTATATTCGTATTTAAAAAGTAAATTAGAACTTCAAAGGAGGTGTTGCTGCTTTTTATGTCAGTAACGAGTTTTATTTTCTAAACTTGTTGGACATATATTTACATAACAGAAGCCTGCAACTTCCCAAGAGTTCCTGGGGTCTCATCGGGCAGTGCTCCATTGCTTTCAAGTTTCTTGAGGACTTCTGCCTGTTTGAAATGCCTGTTTCTGTAGGAGCCCTTGTGTTATTGGCAAGTTCATGTAGCCTTCTGGCATTGGAAGATCTCAAAGGCCTTCTCAAAGCTGGCTGCTACGGGGCAGGCCCACCCCAAGGCAGGTGGGTGGAGGCGAGTTTAGGAAACGCTTAGCGTGGGCTTGATCTAAGGCGAGAGCAGAGCCGCAGGGCCCTCTCCCAGCACGTAACGTGGGGAGCGCCCGGTGTGGTGGCTCCCGTGTCCTGCCGGGCTGTCACCCCGCTCCATGGGTGCCAGCGGATCCGTGCGGCTCAGCAGCCCTGGCACCCGCAGCTGGCCGGCCTCCCGCATGCCCAGGCTTCCGTGGCGAGTTTCAGGATATTGGGCTTGCCCAGGTTTTGGCATTTCCAGCGTGCCAGGCGCTGCAATTCCAGGCCCTGCAGGGGCCGATGCTCACGTGGGTTCCCCCTAGGGTAATACCTCTGCCTTGTATTTTTTTTTTGCATCAGGGAGCAGAAAGGAAAATCCGTGATGAAGAGAGGAAGCAGAACAGGAAGAAAGGCAAAGGCCAGGCATCTCAGGCCCCGTGTAGTAACTGTGAGTAAGACAAGCCCTTCTCGTCTGGCCTAAGTCTGCTTAATATGCCTTGTGTCATAACTGAATAACTCTGTGGTCTTCCCAACAGCTGAAGGGAAGCTGAGTGCTCTCCCTCTGCAAAAAAAGAGCGATATCACCTTCTTCAAAACGATGACTGATCTGGATTCCCAGCCCGTTCTTTTCATTCCAGATGTTCATTTTGGAAACCTGCAAAGAACTGGACAGGTAGGAAATAAGAATAATGAGATGAGCAGGTATCCACCTGCAGCTCGGGTGCAGGTTTTGAGTCATGTTTTACAGAAAGAAAGCACTGTCCCTGGTGACTATTTCAGCTGTCAGTTTTGGTAAAAGTGGCTCTTGACTAGGCCGGCATAGAGTGCACAAAAACACTTAGCAAAGACCTAATAAACAAATGCTTTTCCTAGTTCTGGGCATGAAAAAGACATTTATAGTTCATTAATAACGGACTGCTTCATGTTTTGTTTTGGTTTTGTCATTATTCTGCTAAGAAGAAAGAATGGAAAAAACAATCAATATTTTTGAAGTAGGAGATGGATTTGTGCCTGACAGAAAATCTTTTTTATTTGAAAATACTGGTTGACTTGATGAAATAAAGTGCCACCTTGTGGTAGAAGAGGTCCCCCCTCCCTGTGATGGTTGAAAACAAGGACCAGTCTTAAATGTATAATGAGGTCCAGCTCATTATAAATGTAAACACTACCACATGTTTCTGTAGGCACCACCTATAGATCTGATAATTCATTAGAAGAATATATTTGGACTCCAAAATGTAGTAGAGGAAATAAAAATGTACCATGCTACTTCTAATGGTCAGTAGTGACACGCTGCTGAAGTCATGGAGTCATTATTACCAGTGACAAAGTCGTTGCTGACTTGACTTTGAAGACCTACTTTATTGCTTAGGGGGAAACTGCAGACCTGCATTTAGCATCAGTTCTGCCTTTTTTTTTTATATGAACTTGCTATTTATTATGCATTCAGGGAGTAGAGTTGAGATATTTGTGTGTGTGTTTATAAAGACAGGTTCTCGATGATCAAATTTTATATGCGTCTTCTATAAAATATAAAAGTAATGAAGACTAAGTGATACTAAGTTTGAATTGCCATTATTTTAAAGCATTGTGGTAGAGCAAAGCAGAAACACTGCAGACGTTGCAGTCCCAGCTGTCACTGACTTACTCTCCAAAAATGGAAAGACTCCCACTCACATGGCAGTGCTAGGTACCTTCTGTCCTCATGACTTTCAAATCAGAATGTGGATTTGTCTTAAAACAGAAGAAGATGGAGGCATATCGTAGTGCATGGAATCCTGTTAATAATTTTCTAAACTGGAAAATAACTGGTTTGCTCTTAGCTCTTAGGCCATGTTCAGTCCTGACATCTAATTCTGTGTAGGCTGAAATATCAACATTTTTGTTACCCTGAACTTTTCAGTTGTGTTTGATATTTCTGAGTGGAAAAATGGTTTATTATGCCAGTGTTCTGCAGCTACTTTCAGCACCTGGACTTGGAATTGTGAGTTCAGATTTGCAAATACACCTCTGAACTATTTTCCTCATATGAGGGGTTCAGAGTTTAAAGGCCTCTCTGGCTAGGCATTGAGGTCCCAGGGAATACCAAATTCACTGAATTTTGATCTGAATTATGCCAGCATGAGTCTGGATATTTGTCCATGTGCATGGCATACTGTGGGGAATTTGTCAGACTGTTTTGTAAAGCTTTCCACATGGACTGTGGTTTTGTACCTCTGCTGCAAAGATTAGCCACATTTTCTGCTGTTGTAAATTTGGTCTCAGTGAATGTGAATTATGCTGATTTACACTGAACAAGGTCCTGAACTTATTACATCTAGCTATCCACAGCATGTGCAAAATAGATATATATCACCTGTACTATTAGTGATGAGATTTCCATTAGGTTTGTAGTTAATATTGGCCTTTCTGGTTTAATTAGGTTTTTCAGACAGCATTGAATACATATAAAAGCTGGTGAGTGTTGTGGCTTAAGTCATATTAAAGGTAATTTAGGTGAAAAGTGATCTGATTTACAGGATTGTGAAATAATTGAAAAAATGCTATAAGCCAGAGGAGAGGACAGTGTGTCACAATGCTGTGAGGTGTTTCCATTAGGCAATATTCAACAGCAGTTTTTCTAAGCTGCACTTTCTCCAGATCACCATTAGAAATATGGATGTTTTGTTTTATAGAAGGAAAGGGGTTTTTAATAGATGAATAGATGATGCAAATCTGTTGTTGTCTTTTCTCCCTTTTGAAGTTACCCTGCAGCAGGTGTCTGAGCTCTGGGAATAATTTTTTTTTTCTATTTTCTAGGTTTACTACAATACAGATGATGAGAGAGAAGGGTAAGACGTTTATTGTTGAGCAAATTTTACAGTTAGCAGTCCAAAGCCTTAGAAAACAGACTCAAAACCCCGAAACAAACTAGATTCCTTTCTCCCTCTCCCTTCATATTCTTCTATGTAGCTGCATAGCATGTAGAACTGGTAGAAGTTTCTTTTATGTTATTTTTTTTTCCTGCATGTGAACTGGCTTTTTATAATCTCTTTTTATTTGTATATTTCCAAGTAAAACAGTTCAATATAGGGGCAGGACAGTGTATTTGATAATAAAACAACTTTGATATAAACATTGGAAAATCAGTTCAAAAGCAATCTGTCCAGGAACTCTTCCATAAAGCACTGAAATTTGGCAGCTGCTCAGCAGCACACGTGCATATACTGTGTATATATGTATATATGTGTCTATGACCTGCTCCGGGTGCCGAGGGGCTGCGGTGGCAGCAGCCTGGGGACAGCAGCTCCCTGGCACTGCGTGTCCCGGTGCCCAGCTGGTCTTGGCCCCCTTTGCTGCCCCTTCTGAGCTCGCAGGCTTGCAAGGTCTTGGCTGTTTCAGAAATCCTGAGGCTGTCTCCTTGTCCCAGGGTGACCCAGGGTGGTGAAGGTGAATCCATGCTGAAATGTGGGTTGCCTCCTTGCTTAGCTGTTACTTCTTTTCCTTCTTCTTCCATAAACATTTAAGGAGTTACGGGCCTTTGAGTTTTCCAACTCATATGCAGTTTAGGAGTGGGTTTTCCTGTCACCTGTCCCTATCGGTCAGTCTGGGCAATTCGAGAGGCTTGGAGAGTTCAGATAAGCATGAAGAGAGAAATCCTTGCAATTTTGGGTCTGTTGTTACTTGAGTAGCTGGTGGCCTGTTTGCCAGAGTACAAAGTAAGCCATATCTATGGCAGATGTCTCCTGTCTTGTCAGGAGGCAGCTTTGCCCTGACATGGTTTGTGTGGTGTGTTTTCTAGTAGCAGTGTCCTCGTCAAAAGGATGTTCCGGCCTGTGGAGGAGGAGTTTGGCCCATCGCCTTTGAAGCAGATGAAAGAAGAAGGTCTGAAAAGAGGTAAGAGTCAGTTCTCAAGAGTTAAAAATAAAGCTCGGGGATTCATGCCCTCAATCAGCGAAGGGTAGGTTGGCTCAAACCAAGTTGGTTGCTTGATACTAGTGCAACTGTGGAGTAAGATGTGGATGCCAGAATTATTGGCATAATACCTGTTAGTATGAAAGAAAACATTTTACCAAATGCTAGTAATAATTTTAAAGCAGCCAATAAAGAGAAAACAGGTTGTATACTCTCTCAAGAAGGGATGAATAAACAAGTTTGTATAAAATATAGAAAAGATAGAAAATACAAATACAAAGAGGTTGTATTTGAGGATCAAATACAGAGACTGAGCACAGACAAGTGCAGACTACAGAGTGAGATGAATCTGAATAACATCTCACAACTTTCCTGCCCAATGAGAAAGTTAAGGCATGGTCAGATGTCCTCCAGCAGACCTAACTGAAGTGTTTAAGCATTTGTTTCCCTTAGCTGTTTGTTACTGCCCTAAGTGACATTACCACACTCACATTTCATGTTCTGTATTAGGTGAGCTGCTGTTTACCAGTCTGCTACAATGCAGGTTAACTGGAATAGCAATCAAGCTATGATTTAGGTAAAGTATCCAACTTTGCAGTCAGGGTAAGGATGAGCGTATGGTGGTTTGGTCCCCTCTCTGTGTTGCATACAGTCACATCCCACCCATGCAGCACAGGAGCAGTGACATTTAGGTGATCACTTCTTGCACTACTTCTGCTAGACACTCTGGAGAGTATTTGTCATTTCTTCAGTCTCTGCAGTTCTGTCATGTAAGTTCAGTGGAGACTCCAGGGGCATGAACAGCTTATATAACTCAGTCTGGGAGACATTTTGAGGGTGACTCATCACCTTGGGAGACAGCAAAGCAACGAACCACAGAGGTGAACTCAACTGTTCTCAGCTAGGCCACTCTTAAGCCTCCTTAGGAACAACTTCCCATTACCCTGCACTTGCAGAGTTTCTTTGTTGATTAGAATGGTGCCCATGAACCATGCAAGGTACCAAGCATGGAGGCATATATCTCCATGAAATAAATGTTGGCATTATCTTTTAATTTAATCTTCAATTAATTACTTAAAGCCAGCATTGGCCATAGATTGTGGTTGTCCCAGAACCCTGGCCAAATTCACCTGATCAGCGTGGCCTCCATCTGCCAGAAGGAGACAGCCACAACAGCTGTGTAAAGAACCCTCTCCTTCACTTTCCCAGCTAGAAGCATGGAGAGCTGCTTGCAGGGAGAGATCAGTTTGCTTTGATTATTCCTCTCCTTTACTCTGATAAACTGTTTTAATATCATCCAGGAATCGCAACCATTTCAAGGGGGAAAATTGGAAAGAAAAAGTGTTTTTCGACTGGTGACAAGACTATGTTAAGTAATTAAATCCAGCAGAGGCATGGATGGAATCAGGGAAGCTGGAGGATGCTTTTACATCCCCTTCCTGTTCAGTGCTTCTCGCAGCGTGGACTGTGCTGGCAGGCAGCCAAGGCCCTTCCAGCCTCACCTTCCGGCTGAACTTCCTGCCGTCAGGAGCCCCACAGCTGGGATTGTCCCAATGGAAGTGGCTCAACTGAAGCTACCTGTTTGACCATCTTTGCCACAGAAGTCACCAGATAATGAAATGTTCTGCCATTTTTACCAGGCTGAGCCATGCTAAAAGCCTTTTTTTTTTTCTGCCCAAATTGTTTGGTAGAGCAAAATTTATAACTGAAGAGGGCTGATACAGATGGGCATTGATATAATACGTAATACAGAACATATCCGGTGTATGAAAACATATATTAAAGGGAAGGTAACGCAAAGATATGAAGAACTGAAGTGGTGCGTGGAGTTGCCTTGTGCAGTTTCACCTCTGCCTGTTGGATCTAGTTGTAATACTGTCCAATGGAAGGGAAAATATTAATGGGCCACCCTCAAGAGAGCAGATCTGAAGGCGTTTGCAAACCATCAGTAAAACAAAGTTCACGTTCTCACACAGCTTGCTGCATTCTTTTGAGTTTGTGTTTCATCTCCTTGAGCTCCAAGGGAGATGCAAGTGCCCATCACAGAAATGTAAAGTATGTTAAGCTGTACCAGCTGTGCAGCACAGCTAGTTGCTTGGTTAGATTTGTGGCCTTTTCCTGTTTTGAGTTTTTGGTGATAGTTTTCAAATCACTTTTCCTTTCAGATTTCATTGGCTTTTCCCATTAATTCTGAGCCTAGCATCTGTGTTACAGACCAGGGAGATTTCCAGCACTGTAAGCCTCAGCCTGAAGAATAGATTTTTTTTTTCTCCTAGATTTTGTCTCTCAGGAAAGTCAAATTAAATTACTCTAAAATACTCAGGTTTCATAAGACATATGGTTAGTTGAACTGAACCTATGGAGAGCATTATTCGCTCCGTACCTTTGGACAATTTCTACCTGTGCAATTAGTGAAAACCCCAAATACAGAAGAGGAGAGCTGCCTACCAGCCCTGTCTGAATGCCACATCTCCTTCCAGAGGCCACTTTTGAAAGAGTTTAGTGGTTGGGCTCATGATGTCAGGCTCGGGCACTAGCAGTGCCTGGACCCAGATGTGCCTTGCGATCCAAAGTCTTAGTGTTCCAGCATGTTTCTGCTTTCTTTTTTGCCACATATCTGTTTGCTTTCTGCCAGGGCAGATTTGTTAATCAAGAGCCAAGCAGTTAACCTTTTTGAAGAGATAGTCAGCACTGTTCTTATCTGTGAATGTAGATCCACATATAAATCCCCAGTTTAGTAGCCCAGCTTCCAAACATCTCCTCAGCTGCACCAATCTCCCTAGACTTCAGCCAAAGCGAGTTGCCCCTCTACAATTCTGCAAATCTGGCTACTTCATAGGCAACTAAATACAAGTTTGTGACCCCTATCTCTCGCAACTCTTTTTGACATAAAAAGAACGTTAGGAAGCACAGTGGCTTTCACTGCTGGCAAGAATGTTTAGAAATGAAATTAGGGAGTATAGAGATTATACAAATTTGAATTTATCTGACTTACTCTCAAAAAATAGCTTGCTGCCTGGTACAAGCTATATTTTTCCAGATACTGCAATCTGTACTTCTAAAGTAAGACGATCTAGATGACATGAACATGGGGACAGCAGGATCAGAGGGCATATGAGTACTGACTGTGTCACATGGTCACAGTCGTGGCCATGCCGTGGCATTCGGTGGCCAGACTGCTGAGCCACATCCAGGCCCTGCTTCCCCTCTGAGCCATCCCTTCTGGTGTCTGCACACATGTCTGTGGGGCTTCCTCATCTGTCTGAGGAACCACCACAGAAAAGGGTTATTTTTTCACAGCATCTGCTCTTTGAGACAGTTCACTGTCCAGGAAAATTCATAGAGACAGGCCGGAATAACAGAGCGTGAGGGCAGGAATGAGACAGGGACTTCTTAAGCCACCATTGTCATGGAAGTCATTTATGGAAAAGTGCCCTAGGGAATCAAAGCCAAAGCCAGGGTTTTTGCACCTGTCAGGGAAAAAAAAAAAAAAAGAAAAGAAAAAAGAAAGAAAGAAAAACCCACATACCCCCGTATGTTTACTAATCCGGTCCCTCTGTGTGTGTAAGAGTGAGTCAGGTTCCCCATTATCCTTGTAATGGATCTTTCGTTCAACATAATGTTCTCTGACAAGCCAAGCACAACAGAGAGATTTAAAGCTCAGCATTTTTATTGTGTAACGTCCCTAACCTTAACCTCAGACTGAGTGATTATTCTTTCTTTCAGATACATGTTTGCAATTATTAAGGTTGGCAGATGGTCCAGATATTTGAAAGGCTGGGAGTCCCAGGGCAGCCTTCTAGTCACAAGAAGAGAATTATTGAATTAATAAAAGTGTTAGTCCAGCTAAATCTAGCAGCTCGAGCGAGTGCTTGCTCATGCAAGCAAACATGTCAAAACAAAAAAAGTTTAATAACCATTCTTTTTTTTTTTTCATATACTGACAATTATTTAGGTTGTGACCTGAAGTTATCTCATCTGCTGTGCTTGTTACCTTAAAAAGGGCACTGTCAAGCTGGTTCCAAATACATACCAAAATGTGGTATAAAGGATCCGGCTCTTCCTTCTTGTGGGAGCAGTTTTGTGGCTAACACTTATAAATTAAAGAAGGAAGAAAACCTACCATTGCCCCTGTAATCTTGTTTGTAAACCAAGCCTGGAAACTGATCTCACCAGCCAAATTTTAAACCTTTTTCAGTTGTTTGGAAACATAGGCTAAGAAGCTGCAGTTCACTGCAAATGGCTCAGAGTTCATGCTACTGCAGTCTTAAATTGAAAATTAGCTCCCATAGAATTGGTTCTGTATGAAAAATACCATTATTTCGCACAGTTTATTTCCATGTCAACTGCTGTAAAATTGACTAATATGGTGAGGATATCTTCTGGACTGTAAGGGTTAGAGCTTTCAAAAGTTATATTTTTCCATCTATCAGAAAAGACATGATTACCAATGGAGTTTGTTCCACAGAAATACAAAATATTTAACAGTGCATTTGTATTTGTCCCTGGCATGCAATGCTGCTATTTGAAAAAACTTTGTTTAGGGAAAAAATTGATTTCAGAACATGTTATTTAACTTGCAGTTTTACCTGAGTAATACGAGATTACACATAAAACACCTTCACAATTATGGTATTTCCCTTTGTACCTGTGTGCTTTGCTTTTGCCACATAAACAGCGAGTTTCCTACCTTTATCTTGAACAAGCCTTAAGCTTAGTAACAAAGAAAAGAAGAACAGCTAGAATAGGTAGGACAACATGACTGAAAACCCCTGAGATCTGACAGGTTGTCTGAGGAGGGGAAGTGGAGATGTATGGAAATGCCAGTTGCAATAAGGCACCTGAGTAGGGGCAGCCACTGCAATAAAATGAGTATCTGCCAGTTTTGAATCGCTGCCCTGAAAAGCCCCAGATGACTTTGGACTCATCCTTTCAAATGCCTGATTTTCCAGCTGGGCAGTTTAAAGTCATCCATGTGATCATGTCAGTGTACTGCTTTGTTTCCTTGCTTTTTCTCTCAGAGACTCGACTAAAGGCACACCAGACCTACCTTTCCTGAATGTCTTTTGCCAACCTTTTGGATGAAGCCTGGAGAAGTGCAAGTCAAGACATAGGTTTAGGAAGAACCATCTTGTGTTTTTTTGCCATAAGGGATAGAGCCCCAGTAGCAAAGCCCAAGATTTTTCAGCGGGGGCCTTATTTCAATAAATGAAGATTTAAATTTCTGAAGATATCGATTACTTGCATTAAATTAAATCTGCTAGAAAATTTTTGTTTTTCAAAGCAACCGTGATGTGTCTTCCACTTTTAGATTGCTGATGACATGAGATTACTTTTCATTTTAATGGTGCAAACCATTTTCAGCACTTCATTTATTTTATCTGTCATAGATTGATGTTTGTCTTTCTACTCAGTGGAGGCTGTTTCACCTGTTCAGTTAATTGAACCTGCTGCAAGTTTGATTCTTCTCTGTTTCAGTGCTTTTGTATGTGAGGAAGGAGACAGATGAGGTGTTTGATGCTTTGATGCTGAAATCACCCACAGTAAAGGGGCTAATGGAAGCGGTAAGTGTCCGTTGTCCTCGCGTTCTTTATCTTCCGTTGTAAGCAAATCCTGTGATTTTCAATATATTATTGAGATAGAACATAATATAGAGATGAAATTACTCTTAAATATATTCAGAGTATTTTATCAAGGTTTTCTAGAGCATGCCTCTATCTGAAATGCTGGCATGTTCCGGATCCACTGCTGTCAGTAGGTTCCTGATATAAAATAGACTTGCAGAGCTGTTTTTTGGGGACCTGAGCCTTGAGGAATGGCAGCAATTAACAAATGTCAGAGACAGGGGAGAATCAGACTCTGTTTTCAGAAATGTCTCTTTCTGCAGCAGCGATTCCTAGCCTGTTGAATCGTCTCCAGTAGTGCCTACCAGCGAATCCATTGCTATTTTTGACAGAGAGCTCTCCTCCCAGAGTGAAGCCTGCTCCTGCGACATGATTTTCTGCTTGTTGTCCATTAGCTATAGTCATGAGTGGATATTTCAGATTTAATCCTCTTTATGTGAGCTGTGGGTTAGTAGGATGTGAAGGCTGATTCAGGAACAGTGAGGAACCAGTCATGTGTCTCCCTGCTTCGGTGGGGGACGAATGTGAGACTGACGCGTGGGAAGCTGAGCTCAATTCCAGCCTTGGCTGTATGTAGGAGAAAATGGGTGATGGATGAGAATGTCTCCACAGAGCTCAGCTGAGTGCTAAAAATAATATATTTATGCTCCCATAAAATTATTACAATGTCTTGTTGCATGTACCAAACACTTAGAAAGCAGAAAAGATTGAGTTACCTTTGTTTGGTCAATAGCAGAAGGCAAAAGACTTCTGATTAGCGAAGCTATTTTAAGGACCTGTTCAGATCACTGTTCTCTGAGGATATTCAGCTGCAGTATAATAATGCCTGAATGGTGCTTTGCCAGTGTCGTTTGCTGATTGTGGCCAGGGCAGAACATTAAAAAGTTAAACAACAACAGTAAAACAGTAGAAGGCAGGTTTTACTTGAAGAGGCTGCACTCTGATTCATGATAAAAAATTTACATGACTTGATTTTGTGTTTGTAGAGAAATTCAAAGTACATTATAATCCTTCTATAGCTCTATGACACAAATATTTTACCTTCAGTATTTTGTGTCTCTCCTGGCCTGTTTTCCAACCCCTGTGTAATTCAAAAGCCTAAGAAAGCTGGTGCAGACAGGAGAGGTTGCTGCATACCTCTGTCAGCACAGCTGCTGACTCAGTGGCATGTTTTCAGCACCAGAGAAATCTGATCTGTTGTGAAATGTCCCAGATCACTGAAAAGAACACATTCAGAAAACCTTAATTCTCTTTGGTAGGATGTAGTGAATAAATCAATGCCAAAAAGCTGTCAAAATGCATACTCTGAAGTATTCTGTCTACATTCTTTTCAACATATCATATAATTTTGTAATTGTACACATTTTAAACTTCTGAGTTCTAAATTCAATGCTAAGATCTCAGAAACACGTTTAGAACATCATATAGCCCCAGGTCTAAAAGGCAGCCCTGACCCTGAATCATATCCTGCTTCTCTGTTTGCGAATTATCCACATTTTTGTTTATCACATTTCCTGATCTTTATCTTTCTCCTAATTTTCTGTGAATATGACATTGATTTCTCAGATATTTTGTTTTTTTTTATTCTTTTTGCACACTCACTTTCTGAAAGAACAATCAGATCTCTTCTTAGATGTCTTTTCTTCTGAAAAATATCTGAAGGTCTCTGGTTTCAAGGATAGAGTGAATCTCAAAAAATGGTCATATGTTTATTCCTTAAGACAACAATCTTGCTCAACAAAAAAATATTGAAACAATTGTCAGTCACAAAACATCATAAACTATGACCAAACAGCTCCAAATCCTGCTCTCAGACTGACCCAAATTGAAGTTAAATCTGTGGTTCTCAGTTGCTATGACAGTTCTGTACTGTGCAGAATAAAATATATATTCAAGTTGCAGAGGGCAGCCTCAGTTGGGAATACAAGCATCTCCCAATGTCTTTCTGCAATTAGAAAGTAACAGGTGAGTTCAGCAGACCTCTGTAGACCACAGTTTTTTACCTTTCTATGTATGTGTCCCATCTGTGAAGGTAGGGCCACACACCAGTATTCCATAGAAAGGAGTTGGCAAACATATTCCTACATACCTCAATCAGCCCAGATGTTGTCTTTTCCATCTCCCAGACCCCAGCAGGAGAAGTCTTTCTGGTGGCTTCTGCAATATCAGATGTGGGCTACAAGGCAGCCTTGCTATGCCAGTGGCCTGCAGCCCAAAGGGGCACCTGGCACATTTCAGTGTCACCTTGAAGGCTGTCACTGCTTCAGCCACCCCGAGGGAAGGGTACAGTTTCTGCTCAGAAAATTGGAAGGAGGAAAAGGAAGGTGAGAAAAGAAATTATTCCAAATAAAGATTTCTTTTCCTCCTGCATTGTAGTCTCCCTGGGGGCAGGTGAGAAGATGTTTTATACAGTGGTTGGCAGTAGCAATTTTCCTTCTGAGTGGGAAGGAAACCTGCTTCAGAGGAGGGTGTTAATTGAGATGTCCTAGCAGATGCTAACTCTGCTTTCCCAGATTCTACAGCAGGACTTAGCACATTTGCACTGGGGACTTGTTTTCTGAGCCTTGTGAGTGGGAGGCTATTCCATATGCCCACTTTGAGCCTTGCTTCCACAGCTTCAACATGTAGTATAATTGGTTGAATCCATGGGGTCCCTGAGAAATGTGCTTATGCAGTCAGTTGGAAGTCTTTCCCAAAGCTCACTAATCCCTACATGCTATATAAATCCCACACCTGTCAGAAGCAGTGTGACAGGCAGGGCCTTCCCAGCGCTACCTCTGGTGGCTTTCTTAGAAAATGGTGTCGCAAAGTCCCAAATCACTTTGAGGAACATTTGTTAGGAGTGTTTGTTAGATATCTGAAATATCCTAGGAAAGTTTCATTCGGAATACGCAGAATGCTGTGAAACAGCCTTGGCACAGGAAGGTTTCTTCCTGCTCGTTTATTTGCATGGAATCAGGGAAAAATGTCCTCCTTTAGACATAATCTTTAGAGTATCACTAGGCTCCAGAGTTAACAGCCTAGAGAGCGAGCTCGGACATTCCCTCATGTTCACAGGGCTGTTGTGGCATTGCCTGCAGTTTCAGGTTGCGGTTTGCTTCTGACTCCTTTTATGAAGGCTTTTTTTCAACTGCAACAAAAGGGAGACATTTGTATTATCCTTTAAATTAAGGGTTAAATTTAGGGTTACATCAAAGCCATGTTCAGCATCAGATTGCTTATCTGATATTCTACCCAGCTAGACCGTGCTAAACAAAGCTAGAGAGGAAATAAAAGGATGATGTGAAAGTTGCTCTGAGAACTTCTCTAAGACAGTCAAGATTTATCCTGAGACAGAGCCAGACCCATAGGTGCCCTAGAGGACTCAAGACATGGAGCCACCTTCCATGGGTAGCACAAAATGAGGAATCGGAGGAAGGCAGCCTTGGAAATATGGCCAAGGAGAAGCCAGGAATGAAGTGAAGAGTGAGAGGCAAGGTACCCACAGAAGGGCATCTAGTGAGAGGTAGGTGCTGGCTTCTGCCAGGGATCCTGCCCCATGGATCCTCTCTTGGTGTTGCAAGCATGGCCTGGGTCAGTTGTTCATGAACGGCCAGTGGGGCAACCTGTCCTGTCTGTGGAAAAGCAGAGTGGCCAGAATTAGGTCAGGCTACCCAACACTGGGACGTGTGCGTGCTTATTTGGAGCAAGGATTTGGGCTTCTCTGCCACGTGAGTGTGCTGACAGTGCACAGGCTGCTGAGTACGTAGGGTGGGTGTCTTCCTCGGGGAAGCTTTTCCACCGGTGCGTACGGGGAGAAAGCCTGGGTTTGTAGGTTGGTAGTAGCAAGGACACGCGTGTGAGATACCAGGCGAGCAGGGTGAAGCCAATCTGTTCATGAAGGTGTGAAGCAGAGTCCTCCCTGCAGAAGGGAGTGTCGAGGAACTCCTGCAGCCTCAGTTAGACCTCCCCCAAAACAGATGACGAGATGGAACCAGGACTAGAATCAGCACCTCCAGCGCCTTATCGAGGGGGGCAGTGAAATGTGCTAGTGTGAGTAAAATTGAAGTAGCAAATTCTATTCACAAAACTGAACTTTTTCTGCATGTTGTTCACTGTGAGGCATAAAACATAAAGAATGGGCAAATCTAGTGTATCTTGTTAGTTACTCCTTAAATATATCCATTCCTTTCTGTTTGTTGCCGCAGATATATATTGTGGTCAGAGGAAACTGTTGTCAATGAATAAAGTTTTATTGATTCTTCAAAACCCTGAAGTTATGCTGTGCTTTTTAAGTACAGAATTGTATGTTAGGTAAGATGTCAGTTACATAAGTATAGGCAATATATAGCTAATGAATTCTGTCTCTTGAAGAATGCTGGGTCTGTCAGGATCGAAGTCTTGCTAGGCCTACTGGCTGTTTGAATCTGTCCTTGGTGCTGAGTTTTACCTGTTATTTTCTTTTTGTTCTTCATTTCATGAGAATTGGTCTAGTTAACCTTTCTAAAACGTGTTCTCTCACAGGCAGTCTGAACATCAAAAAAAAAAAAAAGGGGATTTTACAGTGGGCTGGTGTTTGGCAGGCTTTAAGTGGTTTTTTAATTGTGCATTGCAGTTGTCTAATGCAGAAGAGAGAGTTAGCTATTCAGCTGCAACTTCATTTCCCTGAGGAAGAGCAGGAAGCTTACCTTGGTTGACAGTAGAGCACCGCAGAGCTTTGATCACTGACAAAAAGTCCCTTGTTCGTAATTATTTTGCCTTTTGTGAGAATTCTGTTAAAAAAAAAAAAGAGCCATGGGAACTGTTCTGTTAAAGAAGAGACAAAATATGGAAAAGAAACTGGGCTCAGACTGAGGACTCAAGGACACCATCCCCATGAACAACACACACTCTTACTGCAGACTGGACATCCAGACAAGTTAATAACACACTGCTGCAAAGCTGTGCCAAGACATCCCAGTAAAGTACTTATTGTTCTTGATAATTTATCACCTCATAAGTCTTTCTTCAAAGGTTTTCTTGTATTTTCTGCTTTATTCTTTTTGGTGATTCATACCCTATGAAAACTAGTCTCCAAGTTTAGAGAGATGTGGTTACATCCCGTTCCTTACTAAGTTTTAATGTCATTTTCTTATTCTGGTGATTTCAGATCTCTGAGAAATATGGGCTGCCGGTCGAAAAGATTGCAAAACTTTACAAGAAGAGCAAAAAGGGGTAAGTAATTGAACTAAGCAGGAACTAACACTATTTAGGGACTATTGCTGCTTCCTTCAGAAGAATCCAGAGATCCCAGTCATGCTTACAGCATCATTTTTCTTGATTTTATAAAGCCCATACTCTTAAAGTCTTACTGTATGTGGAGACAGCAAGAGGTGGCAAAGGAGGAAACATGAACTTTCATTCTGCATGTGACCAGTATTCATAGGCTTACTGTGAAGGGACAGAATTTATGTTTGAAAAATAAATTAGAATAAAAGCAGTTTTGCAGACTTTATGCCAAATAGCATTGCAGGCTGTAGCACGGGAGAGACCCAGCCTTTATTGTGAGTTCACTGAGGGCTTCCCTGTGAGGCCAGGAGGCAATTGACCACTGCCCAACTCTGAGAGATGGGCAAGGTCAAGGCAGTTTGCTGCCGAGTCCTAACTGAGTTAAATTAGATGTGGGAATCACAGCTGCGGTTTTAGAATAGCTGACCATAAACCTTGCTATAAATGTAACCCTCTCCATTTTTTTTTTGTGCTCCTAGACAACCACAATATTGTAGCAATACCATTTAAAATCAATCAGTTATTTTCAGCCACGCAGCTCTAGCTTAGAGCATTTCTTTTGTTTGTTTTTTTTTACTTTTTTATTTTTGTCTAGGGATTTTATTAACTTGTGAAAAGAAAGGTGAAACTTTGCAAGTGCTGCTTCTTTCTGTCAGTGGTTTCAAGTGCTACGCTTTTGGGAAGAAGGTCTTTATGGTAAAGAGTGAACAAAATACATTCCCTCGAAGCAAATAGAATGGGAAATGGTGTGTCAGTATTCTCACATATAAGCTAGTTCTGAGGCCTGCAATGAGTGTGCAAGGCATAAACTACACTGCTTCACCCTGTGAATGACTCGCATCATGCAGGAGGAGGGCAGGGAGGCTCGTGTATAAGGTTCTTGTGGGACTGGCGAGCAGCACAGAGATGGATCTGGGCAGGCTGGCACCAGGCCAGGGGAATAGCAGCTTGCTGGGCCTGCCAGGGAGCTGCCGTGCAGCTTATGAAGCATCTGGAAATCCCAGCCGTGACATTTCTCCTACCTTAACTACTTCAGCAGGTAGCGGCCTCTCAGCCAAGGACTGCAAGGGGCAATGGGGCAGGTCTTGGTAATTTGTCCCTGCTCTGACATGTGCTGGAGTCTTCTTCCATTGCTTTTAGTCAGTGAGCACATGCAGTGGAGTGTGTGGCTTTGCCTTTCACTTCCTTGGTATGTAAAAATGCTGATTTTTGCCTTTGTCACCAGTATTCTGGTAAACATGGATGACAACATTATTGAGCACTACTCCAATGAGGACACGTTCATCCTGCACATGGAGAGCATGGTCGAAGGCTTCAAGGTCACGCTGACTGAGATCTAACCCTGGGCACAGCCCTTCTGTAAGGAACCACAGCATTTCATCCTTACTGGAAAGCAGAAGATTCTCCAGGAACTTGACAGACGTTGATCAGAGAAACTGTTACAAGACTGCTTGGAAAACATTATCCATTCTGTGCACGCATACCCATTGACTACAGACTTGGGTTTGTCAAGCACAAGGCCATTCATGATAACCTGGACCCTTATTTATTGCTCCTTACTCTCTAGTGTACAAGCAGTTACCAGTCCCTAGATTTGTAACCAGATGACCCACTGCAAATGTGAAATGCAGCGTTTTAATCCATGCTTTAGCGTGGATAAGCTCATTCTAAAACATGTTAAGGCACCATGCTGGTCCAATTTCAGAAATCTGGTGTAAATCACTTTAATAGCAGTCCTCTCCACTATAGCAAAAACAAAAATGGTGTAGTGCTAAGGATGGGGAAGGTGACTGGCAGTTCACTTGCTCAGACTGATCCATATCTCCCCGTAGTGTATAGTCTTGCCAAATACCTCCGGTAGTTCTCAGCATGTAGCAATGAGGACTTGTAAGTAAGGCATTCAGTTAAAAATGTCATTTGTAAGTAAATGGTAAAGAAACCATTTTAGCCTTGTATATAATGTTTATAATATGCAATAATATATTTTAACTACTGTATGTGGGCATATTTACTGCCACTGTGTTTTTGTATGTTTGGGGTTTAGGGTTTAACAGAATCTTTCCTAGAGGATTAGATTTCTGCAATCTGTTAAGGAGTGTGTGCTGAGAAGCTGATAATTGCATCTTCACACATATACTCCATCCCTACTCACCCAATTTTATACTGAAATATTGGAGCAAGCCGTGCTGCAGGGACTGGAGTGCTCTGTCACAAGGAGATCCATCTGAGGTGCCCAAGTCCCAGCTGTAGATATTTGAGCGCCCCTTTGAGCTGTCAGCAACCTCCCAGGGCCCCGTTTATCTACTGCCTGGTACGTCTAGAGGTCCAGAAGGGACTTCTACCAGCCTTGTTGGCCACAAGGGCTATCACGATGGGTCTTTCTAAAACCAATGGAGGGAGAAGTGTTTTTGCCAACAGCCTGCTCATTAGAGCTTTCCTTTAACCTATAGGAAATGAGACTTCACATTCTTCCTTTTCTTCTTAAGGGAACAAACTCTTGTATCTCCAGTGAAAGATTCTGTTTTAATTCCTAGGACAGTTGGATGAGGTAGAAACCTGGGCTTGACGTAAATACTTTATAGGAATTGGAACTATTTCACCAGTGCAGTTTAAGAGCAGCCCACAGCTGAGGTGTGGAGATAGACCTCTTTCACAAAGGGTGGCTCTGATCCCAGGTCGAATTTTCACCTCTGCCTCATGAATTTTGTGAAAAAAGGAAGTTTCAGGCTCATCATAATCAAAAAAGGCATTCAAGGCTGAATGTCCCCGACACATCCAAACCTGGCATCTCTCTCCTTTCCAGCTCCTATGGCTATTTTAGAAAGCCCCTCAGTCAACTTGCACTCCGTGAGTTTCACTTGCAGGTGTTTCATTCTCACATGCACTGTTTGGATCCTGTGCAGCAGACAGAAACGTGAGTCCTTTTGTACATGCAACTTTTAAAGTTTATTTATTTTTTTCCTTCTGAAATCTTTTCTCCATGTAGTCACGATATCTTTTGCATTGGCTAGTTAACATCTTAAAGAAACTGCCTGCTGTAATAGGGCTCATGCTAGTGTTGTGAGCTGCATGGAGCTATTTACCCCCAGGAAAAGCAGTTGTAATAGATGACCAATCTGATTTGGTGCTGTTTTTTCATGAATTGTGCTGCAAGTTATTGCACACTTTCTTCATTTCACTAGCAATATCATCCCATTGAAATCTGTACTTCACATAGTAATGCTTTTATGGGATCAGGAGCTATGAAAGGTCTAGGCCAACCAAGTCAGGACTAACATTTCCAGAATCCACATGCGTCTGTCTGCAAAGCAAGAGTGTCTGGGCACTGTCTCCATCTCCCCTTCCCTCTTCCTTTGCTGTCTACACTTTTTCTGCTCTGTGGGGCAGACTGAGGTGGCAATTCCATTTTCTTTTCGCAAGTACATACTCCAGCAAAGATGTCCTTGCTACCCGTCTTAAGAACAAACATCCTGGGAACACAATGTGATTAAATTTGTTTCTACTTGGCTCAGGCTTGGAAAGAAACTTTATGCTTAGACCAGATTTTTTTTTCCTTAAAAAAATGTAGAGTACAGTTTTGACAGATGGCATTAAGAGCTCCAACAGACAAGGCCTGTGAGCAGTGTTGTGTGTTCTTGTGTATCTCTGCTGAAAATAGTGTTTGGGATCCTAAGAATTTCAACTGGAATCTCTCGGTTGGTCCTGGTGTCCTGGCAGGAGCTGCAAGATGAGTGTGTGAGTAAACGTAGGCAGAGTCAAGCCCTGGTTCTGCTCCTAACAAGCCTGTCATCAGAGCTCTCTTCCTTGGAATGTGGTGGTGCCTGGGACGGCTCTGGGTTGGGATGTGCTGCAGGAAGAGATGTCCGAGCATTTGGGTAGCGTTTGAGATTCGCAGGGAAGGGCAGCACGGTCCTTCCAGCGCCAACGCGCAGGATAGTTTTATCCTTCTCTTATTCAAGGACAGGCTACTCTTCCATGAGCTCGTGCCTGCGGGATGCTGTGGGCAGCCTGCCCCACTGCAGCACCGTGCGCGAAGGAGTGGAAGAGCATCAGGGAGACGTGCAGCACTCCAGGGAACACTGGGCTTGAGGAGCCATCTACCTCGCGCCATTTTAGGAGCTGTTGGTCAGGTCGTGTCCCGGGAAGGGAAGTTGCTTCCAAGCTGAACTGATAAGTCTTTCTAAATGCACTCTCTAGAGTGTATTTGTTTTAATTTGTTCTTGCAGTCTGTAGGCAGCAAGACTGTAGAGTTGAGAATGATGAGTAGGATTTGCCCTGATGGGAAGAGTATTTTAAAACAAGTAGCGCTTGTTATGGATGGTCTCTCTGAACTTTATTTCACAGAATCACAGACTGGTTGAGGTTGGAAGGGACCTCTAGAGATCATCTAGTCCAACCCCCTGCTCCAGCAGGGACACCCAGAGCACGTGGCACAGGGCGGCATCCAGGCAGGTTTGAAGATCTCCAGAGAAGGAGACTGCACAACCTCTCTGGGCAGCCTGTGCCAGGGCTCTGTCACCCTCAGAGGAAAGAAGTTCTTCCTCACATGGAGATGGAACTTGCTGTGTTTTAATTTGTACCCATTACCCCTTGTCCTCTCACTGGCCACCACCAAGAAGAGTTTGGCCCCATCTTCTGTGCCAGGATCACCTCTGCTGCAGAGGCAGAGGATGGTCTTAGAAGCATCTAACATTATGAAGAGCACAACTCCCTGCACCCGTTTGGAGCAGGGGAGCCTCTGAGCCTTGGCTGCTGGTGGAGACAAGCTGCACGTGCACAGGCTCCACCTGTAAGGTCTTGCTCCTCAAAAACAGGATTTCAGAGTGATGGGGAAGGGCCAATAGGAGTGACTCAAACTTCTGAAATGGTGACCTTGCTTGATTCAAAGGCCACGAGTAGTACAAAATCTTTGTATGTATATTGTTTAAAATATACATGTTGCTTTTGTTTCATGGTAAAAATCGATGAACGCTCTATCTTCCAAATAGTGTGAGTTGAATGGAAGAGAGATTCGGCTAAGGCTCAGAAATGTCTGTGTTGCCTTCTTTTGTCTTTTTGTGACATTGTTGTGGTTGTTTATTTAAAAGAACAAAACTCTCCTTCCCTTTCCTCCAAGACGGAAGGGGTGAATCTTCCCTAAGGCTGCCTGAGGGGTGGCTGCTGCTCAGCTCTTTCCTTATGCAGAACTAGAGCAGTGTCCGTAGCTACTGCGTTCGTTTTGAAAGACTCTGACAAAAGATGTTGTGCAAATGACAGAGTAGTAATACTGGTTCCTGCCACAGGTTTGGCTGTTTGTCCGTCCATCAGATGTTTTATTATGAAATCAAAAATCTCAACAGACAGTTTTCTTCTATATAGTCAGATGCTTATAACCCCCCAGAGTACATCCTTGCAGTGAAGTTTTATTCATGTACAATGAAATGCCTATGCAGAAATTGTGGAGATTTTTTTACCACTGAATATTAACTACAAAGAAAATTATTATTTTTTCTATGTGTCCTTTCTCATGAAATATTTGGTCAATGTAATTCAGAGATCAAGTATCCTTCCTGTATATTTTCCTCTTTCAAGCTACGGATTTTTTAAACGTTGTAAATTAATTCAAACAATTAGTAAAAACTATACTCTCCAGCTGTCAGAGGTGCTGTATATTGACTGTTATGGAACTGGAAGAGAGTATCTTATGACTTTTAAAATGTAAAGCCTATGAAATGTTTATACCCTCTTCCATTTCCTATAAATGGAGACAAGATGCAAACAAGAGTGTTTGTGCCAAAGTTTGTGACAGGCCCTCTCTCTGGCAAACGAAGAAGCTTTATGTATAAATAGTGTGCTTTTATATTAAGAAAATAGCTCATATAACTTAATAGTGTTGTAACTGGGAGAGGGGTTTGATAAACTGTAAATACAGTTATTTTATTTTTTGTACATTTTTAAGAAGGAAAGAAATAAATATTCCTATGTATGAGATAATATTTCCAATGGTGTGGTGTGTATGACTGTGAACTGTGAATTAATTACCTATTTCCGAACCCAGGAAACTTTCTGAAAAGAAGAAAAGAGAAATTCATGCTACTAAGAAAACTGAAGAAGACACTGAAAAAAATAACTTGACTTTTTTTTTCACATTTTTAAGTAGTGGTGGCAAAACTGGCCGCCGTGCATGGCCTCAGAGCTGCAGTGTGACACTGCTCACAGTGGGGCTCACAGGACGCAGGCCAGGAGCAGCATTTGGAAAGCAAAGGCAGAAAATGGAGCCCATTTTAGTGCCAGGAGACTGCGGGTCCCTGAAATCCATTTGTTACTGCCAGTTTTTCATCATCAAAATTGATGTGAGTTTATTAATCATTTTCCCTCCCTCTCCCTTTGCTTATCCCAGAGTTTAAACCCATGGCAGTGGTTTCCTACCATGGAGAGTACAATTCAGTGGATTTCTGTGATGAATAAAAAGCATGAAAAATTAACCCGTAGTACATGTAGTAGCATTTTAGTCTCTCATTACCCGAGTTGCTTCATCCAAAGGTTCACACATTTTCTTCCTTTCTTTCTCTGCCTTTTCCCCTCACCACTGAACATTTAATCATCCTTGCAAACTAGAACAGCCTTGGTGGGAGCACTGGGAAGGCCCTTGCCAGGGGGGATGTCGTATTCGTCTGAATTACTCATATGCAGATGCTCTCAAGTGGAGGAGGAAGTGGAGGCTGGTCAACCTTACGGAGC